TTTTATACATTGATTCGAATTAATGAAACAAAGTATCAAATGATTTTCAAATTTTCTAAAAATTTGCTGATTTAATTTATGCATTAAGAACTTTAAATTGAACGATTGGATCGTTGAAATTTGATGTAGAACATGAGTTATTGAATAGAGTAAGTCTACATATGTAGACTTACTCTTGGAGTAAAAAGATCTCTCTTATACAGTGACGAATCCACTTGTATGAGTATGGGGGCACTTGCCCCCACTATCATTTTATACATACATATTTTTTATATTTAAAAAAATATATTTTTTAAAAAGTAAAAATTATATTTTAATAAAATAAATAAATATATTTAAATTATTTTATGTATAAAATATAAATTTGGAAGAAATATTTATTTATTTGATATTTGTCAAACTTTCGAAAGAGATTAGTTCTCATATGTGATAAAAAAATATTCTTTAGTAATAAATCAAATTTTTTAAAAAGTTTAATTATAATATATATACATATATATTAATATATATATTAATGCTCACATATATGATGTAATATATTTAAAAAAATCAATTTTGATAAAATAAAATTTATAGTTGGATCGTTGAAATTTGATGTAGAACATGAGTTATTGAACGGAGTAAGTCTAGGTAGACTTACTCTTGTAGTAAAAGGATCCCTCATTTTATACATTGATTCGAATTAACAAAATGAAGTATTAAATGATTTTCAAATTTTCTAAAAAAATTTAGATTTGATCTATACATTAAGAACTTTAAATTTAACAGTTGGATCGTCAAAATTTGATGTAGAACATGAGTTATTGAATAGAGTAAGTCTACATATGTAGACTTACTCTTGGAGTAAAAAGATCTCTCTTATACAGTGACGAATCCACTTGTATGAGTATGGGGGCACTTGCCCCCACTATCATTTTATACATACATATTTTTTATATTTAAAAAAATATATTTTTTAAAAAGTAAAAATTATATTTTAATAAAATAAATAAATATATTTAAATTATTTTATGTATAAAATATAAATTTGGAAGAAATATTTATTTATTTGATATTTGTCAAACTT